CGTATGCCATGCCAAACCTGAAGAAGAATTCAGTAATAGCTGAAGCTACTGTTGTAGCTTCCTGATTTGGTATTGCATATGCCTCAGGCCACTTGGTGAAATAATCCATCACCACACAAATGTACTTGTTTCCTGCACTAGTTTGGGGCAAAGGACCAGCGATGTCAAGGGCTACTCTTTCCATTGGTGCACCAACTTGATATAACTTCATTGGAGTACGTCCCTTATGCTTGGGTCCCCTTTTAGCACAACATGTACTACACGTCCTGCACCATTCTTTCACATCTTGCCTCATACCTATCCAGTAAAATCTCTGTCGTAGGTGACTCAATGTTTTCTTAACTCCAAGATGGCCTCTTGTTAAACTATCATGGGATTGACGCAGCACAACTTCCCGTAACTTTCTCGGTATAACCGTTTGCCAGGTCGTCATTTTCTCATCTCCAGACAAGAATACCATCTTCAAGTTTCAACTGGTACCATTGTGCTCAATAGTTCTTTGTCACAGGGCTTAGACTAGACACCTTCTCCCAAGCAGGGTGCACAACACTTGCTTTTAGAAAATCAATTATTGGCTTCAAATGTTGATCTTTCTCCTACTCTGCTTTAATATCTATACCTGGTTATACTTCAACATCATCAACTCCTTCAGTCACTTTGACTTCAGCTTGATGGCACCTGGTTAGTTCAACATCTCTTTTGCAGCAATGTCTGCAGTCATTTTTGCAGGGTCTTCGGCTCAGTCCATCGCATTTCCATGAGATTTTCCTTCTCTATATTCAATATCATAATTATACTGGTCTATTTTTCCGATCCAACGTGCCAGTTGTCACTCTGGGTTCTTTAATGATCTTAACCAGCGTAATGCAGCATGGTCTGTCCTGATGATAAACCTAGCCCCAGAGAGGTAAGGATGGAAATATGTCAGACTCTTAACTATAGCAAGGAGTTCCCTCCGTGCAACACAGTAGTTCCTCTCTCATCGACTCAGGACCCTACTGAACTAGG